TGAGAGAGGTGCCCAGGCCGGGCAGTTACAAAGGCTCTGCCTAGGTTCCAAAGTGTACCCCACGCTGAGAACACCTTTACCTTCCTCTTTGTACAGACAGGGAAACTGAGGCTCCCAGAGAGAGGGGACTCATCCCAGGCCATGGTCATGAGGAGCTTCCAGGACCATCTCCATCCGCTCAACCACTCCAGCTCCAATGGCTCAGAAAGGGGAAGTGAGTGGTTCTGGGCATCCAGAGCCAGAGAAGAGGAGACACTGTTCAGAGAACAGCGCGGGCGGGGGCACAGGGCAGGGCCCCAGCTCAGCCTCTCCCCTCCTGGAAGTGGCTGGAGGCACAGGACTTTCCAGTGAAGGCAGGTGCAGGTGGCTCCAGTTCTGGGACTTCTGGAAGCCCCAAGGGGCCCCCGAGAGCCCTAGGGCGAGGCCCTGGGAGGAAAGGACAACCTGAGGTGACAGCACTGGCGCTCGGGAAAGTTCTCTGAACTCCAGTCAATCACAGCTCCTCCCCTTAACATGGGGAGCTCTGGACCCTACGTGTGCGAGCTGGGCGGCCTTCCCTCAGGAGCGAACTGGCAGAGCCCCACGGGAGGGTGCGGAGGCTGCCTCTCCATGAAGGGGGCGTCGGGTGCTACAGACTGAAGGAACCCCGCGAGGCTCTGGCTCGCTTGCATGCAAATTTGTTCCTGCAGACTCCCTGCTAGAAATCACATCTTCTATCTTCCAATGCCAGGGCTTGGTTCCAGGCTAGGTCTTTATAATCTATAAAAATAACAAAAGAACCAAAGCAAAGGTTTGTGCCAAGGGAAAGAAGCTGCCGAACAGGGGCAGAGTGAGGTGGCTCCTCCCTCCTCCTCACTTGTTCTTGGCAGAGTGCGTGCCCGCGGTGTGCATGTGTGCAAGAGTTTGGGTGTCCATATGTGTGCCTGTGCACCTCGTAAGTGTGTGTAGGTGTGTGTGGAAGCTCAGGTGATCAAAGGCTGCATTCAGGAAGAGGGGGAACTGGGAAGCCCAGGAAATCCTTGACAATTGAGAATTAAACATGTAGTTTGGGACCATCTCCATCCAAGGTCTGAAATAATTTAGTTTGGTTGGGGCCAAAAATGTCAGTGTGGGGCTGGGCTCACTGACCACCCACAGACACACAGTTCTTTCTGGAAAATGGCCTCAAAAGAACTCCATCTGTGAGTGCTAGCAGTGGAAACAAAGATGAAGATAGCTGAGAATGCGTTGGCGTTAGTTAGAAAAAGACTCAGGGAGCGGATGACAGAGTGGAGGGTCCAGCTCAGTTCATCTGCGGACCCCACGGACCCCACTGTGCGCCGTGTAGAAGGGAAGTGGGAGGAGGGGCTCCACGCAGGGCCGCCGGCGATGGGGCCCCGACACCCCAGATGGGCACTGCTTGGGCCGGGACCGGGCTGGCCATCTCAGCCACGTGTGGCTCCTCTCAGGAGACAGCACTGCCCCACAGGGTTCCTACAGATCCCTGCCTGCTTTCTGGTGCTTTCCAGGGCCTTGAGCAGCGATCTGCATCCCAAACCTGGAGGAAAGTTGGGGGAGTCCGCTATAGGTGTAAGAAAATTATTAATAATCTCATAATAGCTCATCTGGTTGAAAGCTGACGATATGCCTGGCAGTGAGCTGAGCATTTATATTAAGCATAATTACATTTCTATTAAGCAGAATAATGCCATTCCCCACCTCCAGGAAGCACTTCCTGGTAAAACTCTGCAGAGCCTTCACAGGCAGGTCAGATCTTCACTGCCTCTGCGGAAGCTTCCTCCCATGTCACCAACTATTTCTCACCTACCACCCAGAGCCAGGACCTGTTTCCCTGGGCCCTTGGCAGAGAGAGCTCTGTTTGTGGAGTAAATACTGAGTGTCCCAGGGCCCCCCTACCTCCAGCTGTCCCAGAGCTCCACTCCCACTCCCGAGCACGGCTGGGCTGTGCTTGTTTCATTGTGGCTAGCACAGATTCCAGCTTTCTGCTTCCGGCTAATTTCTCATGAAAACACTGGAAGCTGAGAAGGTGCTCTCTGGAGACTGGCTCCTGTACTCAGCAGGCCACGCTGCAGGAAGCCAACAGCCCTGGAAGGCAGGTCAGAAGCTCCCGCAGCTCCCAGGCAAGTCACTCGGCCCCTGGCTACAGAGTCCTTTCCTGCCCTCGGCATCTTCCTTCTCCTCGAGCCTCCATCGATAGCATCTATCAGGAGGAAGATACTGAGGCACAGAGCCCAAGTCCCAAGGGCCCATGAGATGCCTGCACTCCCAAAGTCCTGCAGGCCAGCATAATGAGCACCACACAGCATCCTGGGCCCTTCAGACCCCACACCCCACAAACCCACCCCTTGAGGGCCCAGGCCAGGCCTTGAGAGGCTCAAGCCTGGAAGTGACAGGGAAAACAAAGGTGGGGAGCCATAGGCTGTGCTTGTCCTGGCCAAGACAGCATCCTGGGGCAGAGAATCCAAAAGAACAGCAGGGTCCCAGGGCTGCAAAAGAAGAGGTCCCTGAGGAGGCAGCCAGCTCTACAGGGTCCACAGCTAAGAGTCACCTGAGCCTTCACCTCATCCCTGAACCCTGCCATGTCCTGAGCGAGACACCATCTCCCCACAGTGCCACCTTCGTGTCCCCCACCCCCAGAATGGAGAAACCGGAAGTGGCAGAGCGCGAAGGCCGGGGGGGCCAGTGACCACCCTCCTCCAGCTCCATGCAGCTAACCACAGCCGGGGAGGAAGGAGGCCCTCCCAGAGGAGGACTGAAAACTCAGGCATGGTGCAGGTCAAGGGTCTTCAGTTCAGGCTGCTCCTGCTGCTCCGTGCCTGGGCCATCTCTGCCTCCTAAGGCAGCTGAGAACACTCTGGGCAGCGAGTTTCATTTAGAATGGGGGGAGATGAACACTCAGGCCAGGCAGAGAAACAACAGCAGATGGCACTGCTGGGTACTTGTGCCTACCCCAAGGTTCAAGGTCAGAATGCACAGCACCCTGCAGCCGGGCGGGTGGGGACAGTAGGCCAGATGACTGTGCTGCTGTCAGAGAAAGGCTCCTCATGGGCAGCTGCACACTAGGGTCCCACGTGGACAAGTGGCCGTGGTAAAGAGGCTCCAGAGACAGAGGCACCTGAAGATGGAGAGGCTAAGGCTGTGGCCAGGAGCCCAGCAAGCCCACCATGACCACCCCAACCTGTACCCTCCGCATTGAGCCCCAGAAGCCCTGGGGACCAAACATACTTTGAGACCAGACAAGATCCCAGTCCCACTTGCCCACCGTCTGGTAGGCAACCTCCAGCCAGAGACGACCTCTCCGAGCTTTGGAGCGTCCTATCTACAAAGGGGTTCCTGCTCCACCCACACGGCACTGCCGGAGGGTCCCCCAGGGGCTGCAGGAAAGGGCCCCATCCCAAGGCTGGGTGCCGCAGTCCTCGGCAAGTCGCTCCTTCCACTTTTCCCCAGCAGCCTGTTGGCTCCCATCCAGTACCGGGTGAGACATGGACAGAAGCCTCCCTCTGTCACGACAGGCTCGGGGAGCCAGGACGGAGCAGGTACACAGAGTACACCCACAGGATGCCCCACTCCAGGCCTACTGCCCGCTCCGGCTCCCAGCTCTCCACTCTGTCCCGGGTACTGTTATCCATGCCAGGCCGAGGGCCAAGGAGAATGTGGAGTGGAGCCAGAAAGACAACTGGGAGGGTGCTGTATCCAAGAATATTAATTCCCTGCAGAGACCTCACAAGGAGGCTGCCCTGACCCCTGCGTCTGCCACTGTCCATGTAGAGGGTGGGTGGCCACACTGCCTGGCCAGAGGGACAGCAGACCACGCACCTTATGTTTACGAAAGGCACAGGGCTGTGTCCCACAGCCTTCACTAGCCAGCGTGGGCTGAGGACCTGAGAATACAAGGACCCAGTGGCAGAGGTAGGAACTCTCCCACCTCCCCACCCCGTGACCCGGAGAGTGGGTGAGGAGCCCCACAGGCAGGACAGGGCCTGGCTTGCTAGCACTTGCCCTCCAGGTCCCCAGCCTGCCCATCTGAACCCCAAACCTGCTCAGGGAGCAGGGAGCCTGCCTGGGGCACACCCTTTGCTTGGTTAAATGCCATAGAGCTCAGGGCAGGGCCTCGTCTGCCCCCATTCACTGAGAACACGTCAGTAGTGTCTGAGTGAAGCTGTAGCAGACAGACACACAGTCGAACAGTCCTGTGCACTGTGGGCGCAAGCAGCACCTCTTCTCCGCTAACCAAGCACCAGTCGCACTACCCCACCCTGTCCCGCCAGCCTGACGGACTCTTCACAGGGTCTTACTAAGATGACTGGGTTTGCTTTGAACTTCCAATCTTCTTGCCTCAGCCTCCTGAGGAGCTGGGGCTCAGCTTCCCAACTGGTTTTGCTAATCAAAATGACTCCAGACATCTCCAATATTCCAACGCAGACCCAGAAGAGACAAGGAGAAGGGCATCTGCTCCCCACACCCTGGAGGCCCTAAAGGGCCAGGCTGGGTGCTGTAAAACCCCAACTAGGGAGGAAACAACTCAGTACTGTGCTTGCCAGGGAGAGGACCCAAGGGGCACGGGGAAGCAGCCCCGCCTCACGAACAGCCAACACAAAGTCCGCAGTGCATAACAAACCCACTTTAATGGATGTATACAGAAGTCAGGGTGCTAGCTGGATGGCAGGGAGGTGCGGGCCATCGCCTGTCTGGACACAGTTTCTAGTCTGTTCCAAGGGTCCACACAGGAAGTGGAGCAGGTGGGGACAGAAGTGGGGTCTTGGGAGCCAGGGCGCTAAGCAGCAGGCAGGGCCTGAGCATGGATAGCTGGCTGGGCCAGGTGCTTGGCTGTGTCCTTGTGTGTACATGAGGTCACAAGAGCCTTACAACCATGTGGGAAGGGGCCGGGGCACAGGAAGTCAGCCCAGGGCTGCCCTGCTCTGCCCTCACAGCCCTACAGGGGAGCCAGGCTGGTGGTCAGCTCTCTGGGCCTCAGATATACTTGAGATGACACTGGCTTCTCGAGGCCCTGAAGCTAAGCATCTTTAAGGTTCTGGGACAAAATTGATGACATGGGCCTTTGCACTGACATGGGATACAAGCACAGAGCCTCCCGGCTGGGCACATGGTACCCACACCTGCCCTGGCTCCGGCCCAGCCTTTGCTGCTCTTCCAACAGATGTGTGCAGCAAGTGGTAGACGGGCCATGCCCTGGCCCTTAGCATGTGGTGGACACAGCACTTAGTAGGTGCTCAGTAAGCACATGAGGATTGGACACTAAGGCCAGCCTGGCTCTTGTGGAGCTCTGCCCTGCACCAGCTGCAGGGACAACATGGGCTCAGCACACAGCCTGATCTGTGGCAGACAGCTTGGGGGGCATTGCTGTTCGGATGGAAGGGAGCAGGCCCTGGCCGAGATGCTGGGTCTGCAGCATGAGGACCTGGCCACGTTGGGCCACTGCCCAACACCTGACGCCACCGTCGGGTAGAGGAACCTGGGGAAGGCTGGGGAGCCATGGGACCGGCAGGGCCAAGGAGCAAGCAGACCACAGGCCCCTCAGGCCACTGGATGGATGAGGGGAGCCCAGAGCTAACTCTGCAGGGCAGGGCAGGGTCTCCAGATGAACCCATCACGCCAGCCCCACCCTGCAAGAATGTTGGTGACCTCTGCCAGTGACTTGTTCTCAAGGCTCCACTGCCGGCAGAAGATGCCACCAACTTGGCTCCTGCTCTCCCCAGTGTCCCCTGTGACCAGAGACACATCCTCCCCAGGGAAGATGGGGCCAGGGCACAGCAGGGACGAGAGGACTTGGGGAACAGGCAAGAAGGCAGGATGCTCAGGGCACAGCGCCTCAGGGGGCCTCCTGCCTGTGCCAAGGGTCCAGACTGGCTCTTAGTGAGGGATGCGGGCCGCGGGTACGCTTAGCCACCTCCCTAGAGCATTGCCCAAGCACCCATGTCCCCCACATGCCCGCTCACTGGACAGTGCACTTGTCCCTCTCTCGGGCCTGGCCCTCTCGCAGGACCTTGGCCTTGATGTACTTGAGGTCGCTGTTGACACTGGGCCGCCGGGCGAAAGGTGAAACCATTCCATAGGCGTCCACGTCCTTGCCACGCCGCATGCACAAGGGCCGGGCGTGGAAGGCGTCGCCGTACTGCACGGAGATCTTGCGGTGCAGTGCGGGGCTCATCTCGTGCGGTAGCTTGGCCATGCTGAAGAGCACGTAGAACATCTCGTCCACGTTGGTGTTCTTCTTGGCCGACACCTCAAAGTAGGCACAGTGCTCATCGCCTGACACTAGCAGCTCGGCCTCAGTGCTGGGAACCTGGCGGCACAGCTCCCCGTGGTCGCTCTTGTTGCCGCAGATCACCATGGGCAGCTCCGCCGCCTCCTTGGTCCTGTTCTTTAGGCAGGACTTGACCTCCAGGATCTGCTTCTGCAGCCGCTTGACCTCGTCGAAGGACTCACGGCTATCCAGGCTGAACACCAGGATGAAGACGTCGCCTGCAGAGAGAGTGGGCATGAGTTCCGAGCACCTCTGCCCACAGGCTGGGACGGGGACTCAGACCCCACGAGTTGTTAGCCTCCGCACATGTGGGGCAGAAAGCTGAGGACTGGAGCTAATGCCTCAGCCACGATGACAGAAAGCCTGGTTCAAACATGTCTACCTGCACCATGCTTCCTTGTGGGGCAGAAGAGGGTGACTGCGGACTGACACAGACAGTGCTAGAATTGTGTTTCCACCCGCCCTGGGCATCCCCAGCCCTCCACAGCCCCACCACAGCCAGGATGCACGGTGGCAGGGTGTGCTCACCACCACAGGACCTCCAGTGGGTCACAAACACCCCTCTGCCCTTGTTGCTCCATGTGGGTGATGAGGAGGACAGACCCGAAGCCCCTCACACCTCCTCCATGCTCCAGGTACGGACACTGAGGCCCAGGAGGCACAAGCAACCAGCCCAAGGCCACACAGCTCAAATGGGGCTCGGCTAGCACTGCAACCCTATCCTGCCCTCCACCAGCACATTGTGCTGCTTCCTGAACACCTGTGGGATGAGGTGGTCACTCCCTGCACCACCCACATCGGGCTGAACAGAACGGGCGACAGGGTGGGGTCAGGAGAAGCAGCAGATACATACTGGCACCCCATCCCAATTTCTAGATCATCACAACTGCAGCAGCCATGACATCACCCGATGCCCATTCCTCACTTTTGCTTAAGCTCTTAAACCTGTCAGGAGATCCACAGCCCATGCCTCACAGGCAAGGAAAAGGCTCAGCGGCACTGGCCACAGGCTGAGTCTGCAGGAGAATCCAACAGAAATCTGCCACCTCCCCCTGGTCCCCACCACAGCACGCCACAGTGTGCAAGCTCGGGCAGCAGTCGGGGCACACCCTACCTGGGCTCCCACAGTGGGCACTCGGTAAAACCAGCTACATGGTGGCACAGATGGCAGCTGCACCACAGGCTGCTCAAGCTGACCTCAGCCACCAGACGTGAGACCCGTGCAAGCAGCTGAGGGCTGGCTGCAGCGTGAATGGGTTCAGAATCCCCTTCACCTAGCACCAGAGTAGAAAGAGAGGCTGTGCTGGTGAGTGAAAAAAGCAACAGCAGACAGATGTGCTCAGAATGCTACGTGCACAGAGCACAGGCAGACAAAGGCTCCTGCCATCACCAGGACACAAATCTGAATGTCAATGCGCTCGAGAGGCCGGAAGAGCCCACAACATGTCCTGGAGTGGCTACCTCAGGGAAGCAAAGCCTGTAACAGGGGACAGGGATGCAAGGGCCTCCGGCCTCACCCACATAACTCATGTGGTACGATTTGTGTGACCAAAAGCACATATGTGGTCCCATACGATACCTCCACCCCCTCCAACCCGAGCACGCTTTGTCAGTGGCACCAGGTCCCCCAGGCTGGGAGAGCTGACCCCATGAAACACCCGTGTGCAGAAGGGTGGGCAAGGCCAGCCCTGACAGCCGAGGTAGTCAGAGCACCTGCCTTCCACCCCACATCTAAGCTGCTAAGCAGCACGGCCAGGACAGGAACCCACATCCACCAGGCTTCCTCCAGTCAAACACCCCTGTGCAGACACAGGTGCCCTAGAACAACCCAGGCCCAAAATGAGGGCAGTGAGATTCTTGGCACGGAGGTGTCTGGTCCGGGGCCACATCGACAATGGTGAGAGTCACCTGCATAGTGCCTCACTCTGCCAGGTGTGGGAGGTGGTTGCAGGCACACCAGAAACACCAGAAACGCCAGCACAGCTTAGGACCAAGGCACACTGCTCACCAGTACCTCCCATGCATTAGCTGACAAGGAAAAAGGCACAGCAACAAAGGCCCAGCAGGGCAGCTGGTGCAGAGGTAGGTCCGGGAGCCCTGGTGTCCCCTCCTGGTCTCCTGTCCTCCCCACGCTCTCAGCAGGATGGGATGCTGTGAGAAACAGTGGGAAGCAAGAGAGCTGGCTGCCACTTCCCTACTGTGCTCCCACCTGGGTCGAGTTCTTCACTGCTGCCTCCGTTCCCACACCCATCCAATGGAGATAAATACGTTTCTCCAGAGCTAGGAGCAATTGTCAGAACTGAATAAACACACACTAGGCTCTAAGAGTAAGATCAGGTTCTCAGCTACTGCCACTACTGTCAGCACGAAGCCCCTACCCGGTCCTCCCTAGGGGTAGTCAAGGCCCAGAGGGCTGAGCTCTGCTGGGCCTCCTGCCCATAGGTGAAGCAGCCATCGACCCCTCCGTGCCTATGGTTCAGGTTCTGGTCTGGGGCACCACCCTCAAGACAGCAAGCGGCAATCCCAGCCCCAGCCCTAACCCCAGCCCCAGGCCAGCCACCTGTGAGGATGGACAGCCGCCGCATGGCAGGGAATGGGTGGTTGCCCGAGGTGTCTAGGATGTCCAGCTGGTACATGTCACCGCGGATGTTATACACCTTCCGGTGGAAGTCCTCGATGGTGGGCGTGTACTGGTCCTCAAAGCGGCCGCTGAGGAAGCGGGAGACGATGGCGCTCTTGCCCACACGCGAGGCGCCCAACACCACCATGCGGTAGGAGTTCTTGGCGGGCACACTCAGCGCACAGTTCCCGCTGGACAGTGTCTTCATCATGGCACGCGGCTGCAGCAAAAGTGAAAGGAGGGAGCCGACATCAGGGCACCTTCACTCACCCTGCCCCTGCCCCACCTCAGGCCTGGATCTCCTTGCTTGCAACCTGGTCTGTGTCCACCTGTGAAATGGGGGTGCTGAGCCCCAGCCACACATTTGCTCACACCTCCCTCAATGGCTCACTCAACTACCCTGCCCGTCTGCCCCTCCACTGTGAGAGCTCTGGCGAGGCTGGCTCACAGGCGGGCACCAGGACCCCCTCCAGAGTCTCTCCTGGCCATGACAGAATGGGCTCTAGGTGCTCAGAGAGGCTGCTGCCATCACCAGAATGCCCTCCCTTCCCCCTCCATCCTTAGCCTTTGGCTTCCCAGCAAGCTGGTGGCTCTGGAACATGGCACAGGGAAGGGGCCAGCATGTGTTTCTAAACCAGATGCCCAGGGCTGCTCTTGCAGCCACCATGGAGAACACACCCTACCCTGGGGAGGGCTCTCGCCTGCTCAGTATCTGCCCCCAAGAGGCCTGGACCAGACGATGTGGGCAGGGGATGGCCACAGGCAACTCAGCCTCCCTTCCAACTCCAGGAGAGCCCAGACTTCCAGAGGGATGCCTCCTAGCCTCCCAGAGAAGACTGAGACAGATCAAGCTCCACACTCCAGAGAGACAAGCACAGCCACTCAAGTGGAGGCTGCTATGTGCAGGTCTCCTGGCTCACGGCCACCTCTGCTCACCTCACCTAAAAGGCCCATGCAGGAAGCTGCTCTCCAAAACACCTTTTGTAAGAGCCCTGGCCTGTGGAAAACATTCCCACCATGGCCAAGTCCTGGTTAGGGCTTCGATGAATGGACTGAGAGGGACATGGACAATGGGCAGCTCAGTACACAGCCGACCACCAGCCTGGAACCAGGGCAGCAGGATGACCACTGACAAGGCCACTGTGTGCCAAGGACAGTGCTAGGTATTCAGCAGTCACAGCAGCTGCTGCCTGTTCTGCAGCTAGCACATTCTGGGTGTGCCGAGCGCTGTCCACACGTCACCCCACCCTGCCCTCAGCAACAGGATCCAGGTGCACACAGGTGACATCACCTGCTCACCTGGCCAGGACCAGCGAGCAAGGTGGACCCAGGCAGTCTGCCTCATGCTGGGGAAACTGCTTCCCCTAGGCAAGGAACACTTTCCATTTCCCAAATGAGGACCTTGAAGATCAAAATGCTATAGGACTTGCCCATCCCGTCAATGAGAGAGCACAGGGGAAGCCCCAAGCCAGAGACCTCTATGTCCCCCACAGTGACACCAAGCGCTATCTATGAACATATCTCAAGGGGCAACAGCGCCCTGCACACAGCAGGTGCTCAATAAAGAGCCCATGAGGGAAGAGAATGGCAAAGCCCCACTCCAGGACCTTCTCCACCCAAGCCCAGCCCATCAGGCTAGCAGGGTCATGCTGAAAAGGGTCCCCCAAGGAGCCTGGGGAGAAGCCCTGGGTACAACTGGGATGGGCAGGGGGGAGTTCATAAGACTAGGGACAGTCACCTCCCTGGCTCTCATGCAGCTGGCGAGGTGCGAAGAGCTCCCCCCATCCAGTCTCTATAAAGGCAGCCTGATCGCTAGGGTCACTGTCCAGACCAGGAAGGAGGGATCCACGGCCCCAAACAGTGCCTGTCTCCAGCACTGTGTCCAGCCTCTAGCCAGAGTCACCGGAGCAGGCAAGCTAGCACCAGCACCTTAGAGTTGAAGGGATCAGAGGGAGGAGGCAGGGAATAAGAAAGAAGAGCCAGAGCCAGAGGAGCCAGTGGAGACACCAGGGAAAATCCCCATGATCTCAGCCTCAGCCACATGGGACTGCACCACACCTGGACACCAGGTGATGGTGCTCCATATCCCCAGCCCCTGCCCCACAACTTCCCTGAGGAATCCTGGGCTCTGTCCCTCCGAGTGCCCAGGCTCAGGCAGGAGGTGACAGAACCTCATGTAAAACCCAGAAGGCCAGAGCAGGGAGAACAAACTAGATGCCTGATGTAAGCTCAGGCTGCTGACCCACCCTGGACCCTTCCAAGGATGGCCAGGAGGTGGAAGATGGAGTGAAGCTGTCCCAGGAACAGGAGCCACTGTCACAGGGATCCATCTCACAGGTGCTGTGCTTGCCATAACCCAGGATTTCACCAGCGCCCACAGGGTGGTCCTGCCGGGACCCCTCAACTGACAGGGATACTTAGGCTCAGAGATGTCGAGGTACCAGCAGGTGACTGGCTGAGCTAGGATCTTAGCCAGGCTATCTGGCTCCAAAGCCCAGCTTCTGCCTCTGAAAACCCAGCCCCTGGCACATGACTCAGAGGGCTCAGCCGGCACTGGGCAGGGTGACAGCCCAAACGGATCATGTCCTCATCCTTTGCCCCTCCAGGCAGCAGGATCAGGCACCCTGCCTGGGTCTCTCTCGCCAGCAGCTCCAATTCCCCTTTCTCTCCCTCAGTTCCCCCTCTTCTCCCTCGTTTGTCCTCAGGGATGCCTGGGAGCTGCACAGATCAGACAGCAAGGCTGGCTACAGAGCGTGGCTCCAGGCTCAGGATGCTAGGAGCCCCGAGGGACAACTGTGCCCCCTCAGTCAGGAGCCTGAGACCCTGCAGGGATGCGCCTTCCTTCAGCTGTGGGATGGCTGAAGCGAACAAGGGAAGCCAAGAGGTTCCTTCTGACACACGCACACACGCGCACATATACACATGCTAACACATCACGTTACACACAACAGCACCTTTCACACCCTTACTCTCAGCTGTCATGGGGCTGCCTGAGATGCTGGCTGAGGTCCTGCAAGGGCCCTCTGTCTCTGAGGCCACAGGAGGCCTGGATCCTGAGCTACCACCTCCCAACCCTGGATGACATTCCTGTCACCTCCTGGGGAGGGAGAAGGCAGACCCCCAGCTGAGTACGGAGAAGGGGTCGCTTACTCTACAGCAGCTGGGCAGAAACTCGGACCATGGAGAGCAGACTCTCCACCCCGGACCAGTGCCCTCCATCCAGGAAGCCGGGAGGGCGCCGTCCCTCCTCCCGAGCCCCAGGCATTGGGCCGGACCCGGGTCCCCAAACTCGGACTTTTGGCGCCGCACCTAAAGGGACAAACAGGGAAGCCCCAGCCCCAGGAGAGGGACGAGCTCCGGGCAGGATGGGGCCGACATAGGCTGGGCAGGGGGGCGACAGC